CTGTGCAGCCCAACAAATGGCACTGTGCTCAGAGCACTGCATGCTGCATTGACTGTGTGGAATACAACGAGGGGAAATCTTAAGCTGTAAATTGTGCAGAGCTGGTAATATACAGGTAAACAGTTTTGCCAACACCACCACTCACCTCGTTCATCTAGCCATAGGCTACATAATACAGCTCGTTAAATTGAATTAACTTATTCTATGGCTGGAAGTTCTAAAGAGGCAAGATACACTTTCATCAGATGAGTGAAAAGTGAGGTTTTTCAGGAGAAGAGCTTGTATTTAGGAAGAATTTAGTAACTCTTAGTGATTGTTCTAATTATTAACTGAAAGTACGGTAGGTATCTAGCTCAGGCCTTTTGACAAACACTTTAAGGCCTACTTCTCTGTTGGACCGAAGTGCTTCCTTGCATTCAAGGTCACAATTAAACACTCACCACCTCTCTGCAACCTTCTATTTCTATCTCCAGGCATTCCACCCGGCTCCTCTGCTTCGGCTCTCTCCCCAGGCTCCTTGTCACACTCAAGAAGCATGGTATGCAGCTGTTTCTGATGGCAAGTGCTCTCTAGGTCTTGGGTGCTGGCTGGTCAGTGTTGCTCTTCCCACCTCCCTCAGGAGCTCCACAAGTGTCCACAGCCTCCTCCCGCTCTCTCTCTGTCTATTCCATCTCCTTATGTTGTTGGCTTCTGTTTCTGAGTTTTTATTACGCTTTTTCTCCTGATAATATTTCTCCTTATTCCTTCAGTCTGCCACATCTAAGCCATCAAACAAATATTTGTATCTCGGGATTCCAATTTATAATGTAGCCACTCCTGCTGCACGAAGACTGGCTGCTCTTCAATCCACACTCTTCTTCATGGCCACAAAATACCAGTGATTTAAAGTACCTCCTTTTCTGCAAACTCAGCCCAAGAAATGTTTTTCTGGCTTTTGATGGAATCCTATCCCCACAATCGAGACAGGTGGGGGTCTGTGTGGATGCTGGGACCACGCCCATCCCATTCCCACATTAGGTTAGGACAGCTTGACTTTTTACAGCATAACTGGGAGACAGGACGCAAAGCAGCACCCACTCCCACTCCCTGTTGTCTGTCGTAGGCCACGCAGGGTGTCATGGGAGGTGCAAGATAGGCACCTTGGGGTCTTCTGTTTCTGATACAAAGAAGACCAGCAGCTTCCAAGAGCCCTAAATACATTGCTGAAGGACCTTACATTCATGTCCGCAGTTCTCAAGTTGTGATGTGAGGAAGTCCTTCATTCTCGCTCCCGGTGTCCTAAAACTCTAAGAGAACCCAAGATCTCTCCCTTTCTGGGTTTGGATTGTCTCAGAGCTCCTTGGGTAGCAACTGGGTTTCCTCTCTCTGAACTCTGTCTGGTCTGATGGCACATAAAAGTGTGAGGCTGAGGCAGAAGGACTGCAAGTTGAAGGCTAGCCTGAACAACTTAGTAGAACTTTCTGAAAATAGAAAAATTTTAAAAAGGGCTAGGAACATAACTCAGTAATGCAGCACTGGGTTCAATTTCTAGAATCACACAAAAGAATCTAACTGACCAAATATCCCTCCCTCCCTTTTTCTTTTTCCTTACTTTTTGGAAAAATGGTAATTTTTTTTCCATGACCATATTTACATTCATCAAATATTAAGTACCAGAGAATTTTACAACGCAGCAATTCACCTCCAACCCTACCTCCTTTCTGATTTCAGGCCACCTCTATCAAAATGTCTGGCTTTTGAAACCACATACTGTACAATGTCTTGGATCAGACAATATTTTATATGTAGCAGAATTTAATAGTACTTGTTTGAAAAGTGAATGTAAGTAAAGGGCATGTCCTCTTTTGCATGAACCATTTGGTGTTCAAAGAGCAATCTGTGTAGCAGAATTGAAATCAGCCTGGTGGGTATGTTTTAGCAGAAGGAGTTACTATTCAAGGGTAACTGTGGCAGAGATGCTGGGTGCTCATTAAACAGCTGTGAGCTCCTATGCTTCCTGATTCTCAAGGCCACATGGCTAGATCTGCCAATGCATTGTGAATGAAGGTGACGTGTCACTTGCAGGTCAAGGTAGTTGAGAAGGGTTGTGCCCCTTGAGTACTCTCTTCTCTTGTTCCAGCCTCTTTGAATACTGTAGCTACCAGGAGGCTGCTCTTCCCTCAGTGGACTGCACATGTATGGGAAGTAAACTTTTGTTGTGTTAAGCCACTGAGATGTTTAGGTTTGTTCTTTGCAGTGGCTGACCTTAACTACTCTAATAGAGTCCCGGAAGCTAGTTCTTGTAACACAGTAGGCATGGAAAAGATATTTGTTAAAAAATACTTGGATGAACAATGAATCTGTTTCAGGCTGGTGGAAGACCAGGTTCTTTTCTATATATGGGGCCATAATAGCAAAAACTACAGTACAAAGGCAATCTCCTGTCCTTTTTTTGGGGAGAAGCCCTTGTGTTTAGTTCATAAGGCTCACATAGACATTTAAAATACTCTTATTATCCAAAGTTCAATTTAGCTTATCAACCACTTGCTGATTGCTCATTTTACCATGCCCTGTGCTGGGAACTGGGAAAATAATTCTTGTCTAGCTAGCTGATGGGGCCAACAACACAAAAGCTGAATTAGACAAATGTACAAATAACCAAATTGATAATCTAAGATTCAGACTCAGACAGAACCCCCTCAGTAAAACCCTCCTGACTCATTGCCCTCCTGACACCTCCCACTGAATAACTCTGGGGCTCCAAACATCCATGTAAAGGCCCCAGGACAGGGATTGCCTTTGTCTTAATATTTGTGCACATGTTTGTCCTTCCTCTGGGGTTTACAGGAATGGACAAGGCTAGTTTTGTGTTGTGTACACTATCTGTGGTATACAATAAATGCTTCTTAGATTCTAAGGTGTGTCATTAGGGGAGAATATGCTCAATGCAATGAGAATGCTCTGGTTTGTGCGATATTATGTAATATGGGGCTGTGAAGAAACTTTGGGGGATATTTGAGGAGAGGGCAGTTGAGGTGGTAAAGGGGGCATTTTGGAATGGGCCTATTGGTGTCCACAATCAAGCTCAGAATATAGTAAAAGGGAGAATCATAGGATTGGGGAAGAGGCCTAGAACAGAGGTCATGAAAAGCAGGTAAGGGATGTAGGAAGGAATGGGCATGAGGCTGCTATGTTTGCACCTAATTAATCTAGGAACAGAGAATCATGGAAGGTGCTTGAGTTTTGAAATGTGTAGGGAGAACTGAGAATTAGGAGCTGGAAATTGGAAGACAACCCCCTGCCCCCACTACACACTCTGACCTTCAGCCATGGTCAAAGGAGCAAACACTAAAGAAATGAAGTATGGAAACCACATTAAGGAAGGTGATGAGTGAGAAGTGGTAGAAAATTTAGCCTTTTAATTTGGTTGTTAGAGAGACCCAAGAGGGAGAGGTTTTCCAGGACAGAGAGACATTAGCATAGTTGAAGGAGGCAAGAAGGAGAGGGGCTAATCAACAGGGCACAGTTGTAGTCAGGGTGGCATGGGGCCTCCAGAGCCCTAGTGGAGAGCTGGCTTTGGCCAGGAGAGGGGGAGATGATCTTGTGGTGAAGGAGCAGAACTGCTGAGGAGTGGAGGTAAGATTCTGAGGGCGCTCATGAGGATAGGAGCCCTGGTGAAATAGGAGAGACAAGAAGGGTGGCAGTAATGGGGTTGACCATATAGAACTGTAGGGATATTTGAAAGTGCCACTGTGATTTAGAGTGAGCAAGAGATCAGCAGTGTTCGCTGGAGCCCTGGGAAGAGGTTACTGAGCATGAAGTCATGGGATGTTATGCCTTAATTTTGAAAATGAGGTCAGCCTTTCTTCTCCATTTAATAGTTTGTATTAGATGTAGGTAGCAACACAACAACCCAAGTCTTACAGTTCCTCCCTTTGACCTCTTCCCTCATTATAGCACATTCCCTGGTCAGCCTGGCTGTCTTTCCTCTGGCCATGTTCTACCTTCTTGTCTTCCCCAAGCTTGTCTTTCTTGGAAGTAGTGATCCTGTTCATCCTGGAATGAGTGGTTTCCAGAAAAAAATGGAATAAATAACTTAATTCTTGAACTTTGACAGTCATCCTCTATTTCTTTCTGAAAATAAAGATGAATTAGTTGAATTGCTTTTCACAATTCAATTTCAAGGACTCCACGGCCTCTTTAAAATTTCTTGGGAATTTCCACCTGCCTGTCTGAAAGAGACAAAAACTACACTCTCATCTTGGCCACCCTAGCTTGCCCTATTATTTTCTTATTTACTGCTTTAAAAAAATACAGAGTTCCCATAATATCCAGAACGCAAAGCTGCTGTGGTGCAAACTTGCAATAATTATCCGTACTATGAACAATGTTTAGATTATTTTATCTTCAGGCATGAAAGAATGTCATATTTGTGATTTTATTTATATTCTGACATTATAATATAATTAGAATTTTATGTCCTGACATATATTTATCTTTAGGAAGAGTATACTAATGTTCTCAACACAAATTCAGAAAAAGGAAATTATAATTTAATTTCAGTTTGAGGCCACTTACAGAAACTGCAATTTTTCAAGAAAAACATAATTTAATTGAAAACAAAATGAAATTAGCTCTTGATAAACTTTTCTGGCTAAAACAAAATACCGTCCTTTTCCCCTGCTTCCACGTATGTACTGGCAGAAGCAAGTCGCTTGCACATGGAAGCAAATACTTTATTTTCTCCTTGAGAAACATTAGTTTATTCTAGGTAACCACTGCATCTCTTACCATAGACCTAATCTTCCTGGTTAGCATTTCTTTAGATTTGAATATGAATTCTCCCATTTTCTCCTGTGTTACTACCACTCTTTGACACTGAACCAGCTTGTCCTCTTATTCACGCCTTCTGTACCCAGGGCGCACCCTCAGAGGGAGGAGCACCATTGGGTCAGGCAGCTTCTTGGCTGCATTCCCCCGGGGCCTGCTCTCCTGGTCTTGCCCAGGCACCCCGTGCCTACCTGGAAGACCCAGGATGGTGAAGTAGGGCCGGCACTCTGTGAACCCTGAGCTCTGCCTCACACAGCTTCTCCAGAGCCCTTCGTACTGGAACACGGAGGTGACGGGGTTGTCATATAGGTCCTGGGTGCTCCACATGTCCATCCCCGTGGCAGCGATGCAGCCGGCCAGACCCAGCATGGACAGGAGGAAGCCCACTACTTGGCACGTGGTGGTGGACATGGCCTCAGCCCTGGCCCTGCCGCCTTCCTGCAGCCGAAAGTGTGCGCCCAGCTTGCACTGCCTCAGAGGCCTTCTCTGTGGTTCAGTGTTTGCTCACGGTGTTTTCCTTAGATAGTTTAGTTTCACTCCTCGTTCAAGGGCATTATTTTTTCATTCGTTAGGGAAAAGGCCCCGAGAGGCACTTGTCGGGCTGAGCTGCGCAGGCTCAGTTGGTTGAGCGCAGAGCTGGCTGAGAGGCCAGAAGGACGTCCTGCTCGATACCAGCCTCCACCATCCAGGCTGTCTCTGTGCCGGGAACATGATGCCCTCTGGGGAAAAAGCTGGGTGGGGGGCAGCATTACCGCTGAGAACATCCCCCAGACCACTCAGGCTGACCTCCTTCAAAGGAAGATGTCCCTAGGAAGCATGTATCTTGCTCCACCTAAAACCAGATGGCCACATTGTCTCCTGGCCACTTGTATACTACCTTCCACTTACACTTTTCTGTTTTGATCCTAGAAAAGTGGGAAGGGCAGGTATATTTATTTGCAATTTTTAGGTGAGTCAACTGAGGTAGAAGTAAGTCACGGAATCTCAAGTGCCCTGAGCTAGAGATGCTTTAAGGAAGGCTTCCAGCCTCACCTAGGCCTAACTAACCCTTTTTGTTTCTATGTGAGTGACAGGGCCAGGCAGAGTTGTTCCCACTTTTGAGAACAGGAAGCCAAGTCCAGACCTTGGTCCACAGGTATTAGAACTGGGCTGAAAAGCCAGGGATCCTGTTGCCCTTCATATTCATACTGTCACTCATGCAACAAGAACCACCGGAAGATGATGTGGCAGGCAAAGGAGGTGCCATGAATGCCTGAGAAGGGCACAGGACTGCAGGGCCAAAGACCCTGACCTGGTCACCTTGAGACTTAGGATCTTCCTCTGACTGTCCATACCGTGCTGTAGGCTAGGCGATTTAAGGGCAGACTCCTAAGTTCTGGTAGGTCACTTTCTTCATCTCCAACATGTGGGCACTACCCCAGAGCACTTTCTGATCTCATATACTATCTTCTATATTTTGTAGAAAAGTTTTTTATTTCAGTTACTTAGACAATTAGAAGCTGTATAATCATAATTAAAGGGACACTTGCCTGGGGGCCGGGGATTTAGCTCAGTGGTTCCACTGCCTGCCTTGAAAAGTGCAAGGTAAAAAAAAAAAAGAGAGAGAGAGACACTTGACTGAAGAAATCAGGTGTTGTATTTTACTTCTAAAGTTTTTCTTAGAGAAATGATGAACCTGCTGCTTTGGATTGTCATGTATGTCTAGCCTCTGAGTTTAGACACATTTAATTAATTTTAATATTCCCAAATCTGGATTTCAAGGCCTGAAATATACACACATTCACACACTCATCCACACTATAATCTCTAACCATGATAGGTTCTCCAGGAAACACACCTATGTGTCTGGACATTTCAATGTTATCTTGGCCCCACCCAGTCCCTACTCTCATGGCTTTGTGTTTTTTTTTTTTTTTTTTTGGTATTGGGGATCCAACTCGGGTCCTTGTGCTTATGCAGCAGGCAGCGAAACCACTGAGCTAAATCCCCGGCCCATCTCATGGGTTTGTTCTCAGAAAACATTGAAGGCAAATATGGAAGATCTTTCTCTATCTGAATGGGGGCATTGCTCCTCCTGACTCCACATCTAACTTCAAATTTTGTGGTTAGTGTCTGTGGAGAATGAAGCATATGTCAGAAAACCCCAAATAAGGGCATAAGCAAGAGTTAAATGCTTGAAAGTGAAGTAGTGTTCATGGCTGTGTTTCCTGAGCTGAGCTACGAGGCTAAGTCTAAAATGTAGGAAAGGGGCAGCTAGAGGAAGTCACACTGGTTTCTTGGTCTCCTTGGGCTAATTAGATTGAGAAATGTTATTAAAACAATTTGGAAATGATTCTGGCACTGTTTCTGTGGACAAGATACATCTTAACTCTTAATTCAATCAAGAGGCAGGCTTGTTATTCTGAGAAAGCTCTACATAGTTTTTGGCTGTTTAGTTCATGACATTTGTCCAACATCCCTGCCCCCCATACATTGATTATAATGCTGCCAAAACAGTAGATTGAAAACAGGAAAGTAAAAAAAAATTATCACAAGTTATCTTTTCTCACTCATAACAGCTTCTCCCTCAATTTCCCTATGCAAAGGTTTTATGGTAAATTTCAAAAGTAGAAAAAAATCATATTCAGATAATAATGAATTAAGTTTTCTTTTTGGACTACTGAGGCATAAATAAGGATAAATTGGAGTTATTTGTAGGAAAATGGATGCACCTTGAGTTCATAAGGCTAAGTGAAATAAATCAGACACATAAGGTTACATAGCTCATAGTTTCTCTTACCTGAGAAAAGCCAAAGTGCAAATAAAGAGCAAAATAAAAGATAAATGATAAGAAACAGGGAGGTAGACTTTGCAGAGATGGGAAGGGGATCTGGAGAAGAGGGGAGACAGGAGAGAGGTGAGAAGGGGAAAAGAAGTAAAAAGGATCAAGATGAGATATGTAGCAATTCCTATAATGAATGTATTTATTATGTATTACACACATATACCAATACAAACATTTAAAAAACTTTTCTTTTTGTTTAAAATGTGGCAATGACTTAATTTTTTTGGAAGAAGTAAAACTAATTTTAAAGGGTATACTAAAACTATCTCTAGGCAGGATGCTGAATGAGAAGAGAAAAATTATAAATCTATACACTTTTTTGTGTTTTAAAACACTTGAAAAATGGGATTTTTCACATCCTGGTGAATTTTCTGAGCTCTGAAATGAGTCAGCTACTACTTTAGCTGTCTCCACCAAAGAATGAATGGGACTCCACAGAGAGAATCTGATATTTGGTTCATGGCAAAAAGTTTTGTTGAAACCCATTGAATATATGGCTATTAGCTAACTCCTGGTCTGATTCTGCTTAACAATAATGGGCATGGTTTAACTTTGCTCAATCACTTTTAAAAGCAAAATGTTTGCTGGAATCATTCCTGGATTCAGGCTTAAATAAGACATCTCAAGTATCATTTCAGATTATAAGTTTTCGGGAGCTTTTTTACTGACTTTGCATAAAATATTCCCACCATTTTTATTAACAACTTTTAGGATTATTAATGTAATACTGTCCATGATAATTAGGCAAAATGGTGGTATAAATAGACATATAAAATATTATAGCTAGCAATCAGGAAGGATTATTAGAATACTAACAAGAAAAACAATTGACACATTCAGTAATTCTTTTCCTTGTATTACCATACTGCATATGCCTAGTTTCTGATTCTACCTTTTGCTGTTCATAATGAAAATTTGGAAATTTTTACAAGTCATTAAATTTTAAACACTAAACAGAGTGTTTTTGGCATACTTCTTTATTGCCAATCCTCTGTATAATTTTTTTCATGATTAAGATATTATCATATTTGATGTTTTGCTGTTTCCACTGAGTTGTATTTATGTAAGCAAAGATTTTGTAAATATAATATAGTTTGAGCGCATTAGAACTCCATTATATAGAAGTGTGATTATTTACCTGAACAATGTCTATTCTTACATAGTTAGGTTGTATCTTCCCCCAATATTTTTGTATGAAAGCAATGTTATGATGAATATTTTACATATAACTCTTTGCCAGCACTTCTGATTACTCTGTTAGGATAGATTACTAGGACTAGAATTGGGTTGTCAAAGAGTTTGAAGTTTTAAAAAAATCCTTTGTACATAGAGTGGCATTGCTTTCTATGAATTTTATTCCTGATAGCAATATTTGAAAGATCCTACTACATGCTAACCTATACTGTGAACTTGGTAAATTATACATGATCACCTATTTCTGTTACATCTCTTTGATTACTGAGTTTGAATTGTTTTTTCCTTTTTGTGGTGCTAGAGATCAAACTCAGAGCCTCATGCATGCTAGGCAAGCAATCTACTACTAAACTACATCCTCGACCCGTTTCAACAAATATCTATGAAACATTTGTTATTTTTCCTTTTCTTTGTCAGTTTGTACTCCTCTCTCACTTATTCATTAGAAATTGAGCACTTTTCTATCAGTTTTTATGAGCTATTTATTTGTTAAGGATCTCAATATTGCTAGAAGTACTAAAATATCCTTTTGATTGGTTATTTGCTTTTTAGTTTCATTTCTCATTTTAGGAAAAAACCCCATACATTGTATTTCATTTTATGTACTTCCCAGTATATGGTGCATAAAATGTGCTCAATAGCTATTTGTTGAATTATGTAATGAAATAAATTTACTTTTTATTTGTGTTTTCCTCCATTGTTACTGTGGTAAGAGAATTATTTTCCATTTAGGAGATAAAATGTAGAATTTAAAAATATTTAGAAGTATTGTATGTATTTTTTACATTCAATTAACATGGGATTAATTTTGCTTTATGTGTTGGTTGCTGTTGCAATTTCTTTTACACATCCAAAAAGGCTAGTCAATAATTTCTGTAGCATTTCTTGAATAATCTTCTCATTTTCCTACTGCTTTTGAAACCTCCTCTATCTTATGTTAAATTCACATATGTGTCTTTCTTTTTTTATGTTAAATTCTTTTATTGGCACATTGTAGGTATACAACACAATTACATTTCTCATTGGGAATTGTACCTTTACATAATGCATCTTCGTTCTTATTTTTTCCCCATTCCTAGCCCTCCCTTCACCCCCTCCACCCTTCCCTATTTACAAAGACTTTATTTCCATTTTTTCCATTTCTCAGAATTTTTCCTTTCCCTTCTTTCCTTTCCCCTGCCCCTCCCACTACCCCTACCCCTTTGGACCTTTTCTTCCTATTTTGCATTATCGATTATTCATTCTAACCATTGGTACATTTTAGGTATACAATATAATGACATTCATCTTTGGAAATTTGCACCTTTACATAATCTCTCTTGGTTCTTACTTTTCACCCTTGCCCAGCCCTCCCTTCAACCCCTCCAGTCCTCTCTATTTACAAAGATTTTGTTCCTATTTTTCCATTTTCTCATATTAATCCCATTCCCTTCTATCCTTTCCCCTAGCCCTCCCACTTCCTTCCCCTTTGCCCCTTTTCTTCCTA